CAAAGGTGCCAAGAAAGACCTTCGAAAAGCAATCAAACTGCAACCAAGGGAATCACTAGCCTTTCGTAGACTTGGTATGTGCTTTGATATATCAGAACAAAAATGTGAAGCTTGTTCGTGTTATCAGGAAGCATGTAGAAGGTTGGCATGGAGTATTCTGTCAGCTCCTCCTATTGTCAACAATGAAGGCACAGATTTGGAAGTCATCAAATCTGTGAAATCCACCGATCAGAACATCCATGTGAACATGCTCAACTGGGCCGCTTGCATGGCTGGTCTTTCGAACGATTATTTATGCAAAGGGCAGCAGCTTTTTAAACCAAATTGGTGGTGCCATGATGGGGCGCTGAAGAGAGTCACAAAGGTCGTACTAGGTTGTCTCAAGGCCTACCGAGCAGACGACAAACTTGCAATCTACCGGATGTCTTTCATAAGAGCATGTACTCTGTCGGGTTTGATTTCCAAAGGCAAAATGTGTGATGAAGTTGCTTTTGTCAAGTTCGTCCACAGGGTGTCTGTGAAGTGCACAACTGAAGACATGAAGGAAGCCTCTACACTCTTAAAGTTGTGGAATCTGAAAAAGGTGAAGACCATGCAGATGATGCATTTACACACAATGCCCAACTGTTTGCTAAAATCATAGCATGTGCTGAAGAGAAGGTACGGAATTCTGGAGACTCTGTGATTCCGGAAAGAGGTATCAGTGAAGCTGGTCTTTGGGTTGTCATCTATGAACTTGTGAGTCCCTCAGGCTTGGCAATGAACAACAAAATCGGTCTGGTCTGCATGGATGGGTTGGAAGATGGCAGAGTTGCTGTGAAAGTTGACGGAATCAGCTCACCAAAGCGGATCAGATCAAACCCAGAAATCTACAGCTGTACCCACTTCCAGAGAGATTAGTGGCTCTCATTTCAAGCATGGAGGAAGTTGACCAGTGGAAGCATGTGAGATCGATGAATGACTTAAAATATTCAAGGCTCAATTCAAGTAGTAAAGGATGACGATGGGTGACTTAGAAGGTGCTTGCGACTTTCGACTACAAAGAAGCTCTTGCAGTTCACAGCTGGTATGGATCCAACGCGCCAAACCAGCCTTGCAAAATGAAGACTAGCTAGCTCACAAAAGTAAGTTCATATCATACAAAGTGAACTGAATTTTGATTTTAAATACATCATATAGCAGGTGCTTCCACCATGAAGCGTGATGCTAGTTTTAGTTGTCCAATGTGCATAGAATGGATAGTATGTACGGGTAATAGAAATGAAGTCAATGATGATCCTTTTGAACTCTTGAAGAAGTGGAAGGTGGAAGATGAACTGAACATCGAATGCTGTGAAGCTCTTTGATTGAGGCTTGCAAATGACCGCTCGAGTAGTCTTGTTGATTGATTCCTGATCACTGCAAAACAGCTTTAATGCCCACAATCAGTGCCATTTTCAGGACCAGCATAGCACCCGCCGCCAGCAAAGGTGTCGCAACAATTTTTCTTGGCGACCAGAGCCATCGTCGATTGGCAATATCTCGATACTTGTGCAGAAAGGGCGTTGCCACGGCCGTCAGGGAAAGCTTGAGTACAAGAACGTGTAGTTTACCAAACACCACAGTGGTGTGTTGCCGTGCGGCTTGTAGGATTCCTTGTTGGGCCAGTAGTACCGACCACACGACTTGTTGGGTGGATCGGACGGACGCCAATGAAATGAGCAGGATATCCACCATCAGATAGGCCAAAAAGAGCGAGGGAAGCGTGCTCTTGACGGCGTTCCATTGTCGTTGACGAGTTTCTTGTCGTTCTACATCATCTTGCGACAACAAGGCAACATCCCGTTGTTGCTGGAATCCCTTGACCCATAAATTGGTGTTAACCATCCAGTCTCCCCCCGGCGCCGCAGTCTGTTTGAAGCGTGGTCCCCAGGCTCCAAAGTCCATACTGGCCGCTTTGGCGGCTTCCGTCTTTTTGATTTGTGCATATTGTTCTGGTGACATGCCCGAAGGGACGTAGGGGGTATTTTGGTCCGTGTTGAAACCAATGTAATTGTAGTTGGTGGATTCGTCACTGCTACCAGACAGCGCCTTCGACTTATCCCCGTCGACATCAAGTTTGGCAGCGGCGAGTTTGGGTATCCCAAGAGTACGGGGAAGTGGTTGGAAGCAGTTGATTTCCGTAAGTGCTCCCAAAATGAGCACAGTTGAGAGCAAGAGCTTTGTATGGTAGATAGTCATGGTGTAATGGTGTAGCCGGCTATTTTGGGAAAGATAAAGGAACAGAACAGTTTTGTTTTGATCTCGACGAAAGAACAGCTTTGCCATCAGACAGAAGAGGCGACATTGAGTCAGAACAACAGACAGCTCCATCCATCCTTTCTGTCGCTCTGCATTGGTTGTTGAAGTGATGAGGGCAGGTGCGCCACGTCATCCACGTATGACGTCATTTTCACCTTTTTCAAAAGATCCAGTTCCGTTATCCGTGACTGAGTTGCCACCAATGATTTCCCAATCTCATTCTTCACCTCAACCGAAGTTTCTTCACCTACCTGACAATCGAGGAGGTCCATTCGACCATGTCGGCTCCTTCTGCTGTAGACGACTATAACAATATCACCAACGATGGCGAAGAAGGAGAAGAGGAAGAAGAAACCACCGCTGTGGATTTCTTACAGTCCATGATGATGCAAGACGATGAACAGGATGAAGACGAACCAGCTTCCAGCGCCCTCTCAAGTACGCCATCAGCAGACCCTCAATACAATCCGAAAAAACCTCTCTGGTGGAAAAAGATTTCTGGAAGACCCACCAAGTCACAAAAACGATCCATAGAGGCCATGTCTCAATTTCGACTTCCAAGAGTAGATTATGGATCATTCTTGGATTGGGAGGAAATCTTTGCATCAACTACCCCCCAAGATAATACTAATAATGCAGGACGAGAAATCTGGTTGGAAATTGGATTCGGAACGGGTGACAATTTGCTTGCCTCGGCACACCAGCATCCGGACAGGTGTTTTGTGGGAGCCGAAGTGCACACGTCAGGGATTGGCAAACTCTCACAACGAATGCATCGGGCCATTCTGCAAAGTCAGCACTGGACGGGGTATACCGTCTTTACACCGGAACGGTCCAATCAACCACAAACACCAGAACAGCCTGATCCGGAAGAGGACGAAGAAATTGACAGCGACACGCCACTGCCAGACAGTACTATTAGCAATAATCTCTACTCCAATCTACGAATTTACGGTGGGGATGGTGTCAAATTGTTGCCCTACATTCCCACCAGTTCCCTATCCGCAGTTCTCATTACCTTTCCCGATCCCTTCCCCAAACAACGACAAATTCCCTATCGTGTGGTGCAAACGCAAACTCTGCTCGCACTACATCGAATCCTGAAGCATGCGGGTCGTCTGTTTGTTGCTACCGATCATGAAGGACACTCTCAATGGTGCCGTGAAAAGGTCCATCAAGTCAATACGAATGCAAGGCAACAAAAACAAGAGCAACAAGAGCAGCAGAACCAACTGTTTGTATCTGTAGAGGATTTTGATCGCACGGAATGGCTCCCAGTCATTAGCAAGTACGAGCAAAAGGGATGGAATGAGGGGAGAACGACTCATTTGAGTTGTTGGCAGGTAGTTAAGTAATTAGTACAGCGTAGAACTATTTAATAATCCAAAATGTGTGGTGAATAATCAATCTACATTGGCGAAGAGCGTAACGGATGATACAAGCTACTAGCAAGGGATTCAAAGCTTTTCCGAAGTGCGTATGGAGACGTCTTGAAAGAGCTTCAAACTGAACCGTGTGTTGTGCATAGCAAAAAATGGGCTTGGAATTCATTCCAGCTCTTGTCCTCCGGTTGGACGAAGAAGCAACTTTGGCCAAGCCAAGTCCTCCTCGTCTGTGCTTTTTGTGGTGTCAAGTCTTCCTTTGGTGGGAGCATTGGAACCTCCAAGCAACAAACCAGCGAGGCTGGTACTAAGGACCGACCGCGTCACGAAAACCGTTTTGAATTGCGAGCATTGTCCGAGGAAGCAGGGCCCAACGGGAGGGCAGCCCTCTCACTTTTTTCGCGCCTATTTCGCAGTTTCGGAAAGTAGGAAATCAACACAAAATACCAACAGCCGTCCACGCAACAGGTGGGTGTATCCTTCCCTTTAGCAATCCCTCTCCCTTCTTTGCTGCTTCAAATTTCAACCTTACTCTAATACACATGACAAGATGAGTTTGTTCAAGGGATCTCCGCTGCTGCTGCTGCTTGTTCTGCTATTTTTGTGTAACAATGGAATTCTTGTGACAGCCAAACAAGCTTCTCTTCATCGATCATTCTCAAGTCAGGGGATTCGTGGCCTGAAGAATCCTGTGTATCGTGGCTTGAAAAAGGACGACAGTGGCAAAGACAAGGACTCTTTCCAGAATGTCGAATCTGCCTTTGGAGACAAACAACAAAATGACGAGAAGGATAATGACAATGGGAAAGATGAAGACGAAGAATCGGAGGAGGATAATGACAAAGAGGAAGACGAAAAAGAGAAAGAGGACAATGTCAAAGAAGATAACAAAGATCAAGATGACAAAGGGGTCTCCAATGATCCAGAAGGGGTTCCTGCCATCAAATACGTCCTCCTACCCGAGTTTACAGTGGAACTGGGTGTCGATGCGTATTCTTCCAACCGACAAGAAGGGGGGGCTGCTCGCAACAACTACGACGCCATTGAGATGCTAATGGCCACCTACTTTGAAACTCTCTTGCCACGAGATTTGATGGGACCCAACTACCTTACGGCAGAAATGGAGGCTCGCATGTCCAAGAGTGTCGACTTTGGACAAGGCGCCTTGTTGAACTTCAAGATCAGAGGACAGGCTCAATATCTCGACGAACCAGTCCCATCCGAAGCTGAACTCAAAGACCGTCTCATTTGGTTCCTTTCTCGATGGCAAGGACAAGGACAGCTGGAACGATTCCTCAACGAAAACGGACTCTATGGATCCAAGATATCCAACATTTATGTCGATCAAGAGCAGGTCACATCCACGTCAGCCAACAGTGGATTCTTGTCGGGCAATCAAGATATTCCTGAGTTTGGCAGCGCCAATGGCCAAGAAGATGGCGGAGAAGGCGACGGAAAATCGAAGGCGGGGCTCGTTGTTGGATTGATTTTCTTCTTGCTGGCGTTTGCGGCAGTGGCATATGTCATGTACAAACACAGAGAAAGCCTCAAGGCAGAATGTGGTGTGTGCTACAAGTCAGCGCGGGAGAAATCCCAGCAGCTGCGGGATAAACACCGTCAGAGACAGGCTGAAAAGCGAGGGTGGAGAGACTTTGATGGTTCGCAGGGATCCAACGAGGCTCTGGAGGGCCAGGTCGACGGCACCAAGAAGCAACCATCTCAAAGCAGAACCCCAACCAGTGAGCCTCCTAAGCGAATCAAACTCGTCTCTTGGTTCCAGCAACAGACAAAGAGATTCAAGAAACAGAAAAGCCCTGAATACGACCAACCACCCATCATTGGACCTCCCAGACGCTTTAGTAAAAAAGTCCCACCATCAACCAGTGAACCTCCCCAGCGCTTCAATCTCTTCTCATGGTTCCAGCAAGAGCCTGAACTAAATAAGAACAACGAGATCCCTGACGATGTCCTACCGCAGATTCAAGTGGTGGTGGACAATGATCATGTCTTGAAACAGTCCACTGGGCGGGTTCCCTACCGAAGCCAGTCCTTGACCGAACAGTCCAAACGACAGTTTTCTGCCTCCACCGTCCCTCATGCCAACCGCAGACTGCCCCCTGAAAACACTATGCACACGCATGGACTTTCGGATGATGAAGAATCGCTCAACATGGAAGATCCCGTCGTTCGCTACGCTCCTCCCACTCGGTCTCAAGGAAAAGTGCATCGTGGCCAACACAACAAGTCCAAACACCGAGCAGTTGGCTCTCCATCCACGGTTGCTAGTACTCCCTCTCCTCCTCCCAAACCAGTACGAGCACCGTCGCCGCCCATTCCCGAAGACGATGTTTGCACAAATACCTTTGCCGACTGGGCCAACTTTTTGAATCCCTGCCTCATGCCCAATCTTGCCATGTTCCAAGAAGAGTCTCAAAAGCTGGATGACCTTGTGCAAGATGCTGGTACCAGAGGAAGCTTGTTTGAAGAGCAATCCTCTGTGATGGCCAGCGTAGGATCGCAACAGCAGCAGAACAAGTCAAGCAAGGAACCGCGATACTCATCCCGCGACAAAGCCCACCGGTACAACTATGGCAGCAGCCTCAGCGAATTTTAGGTTTTGTCTTTTTGCTTGATAGCTAGATTAGACATAAATGAATGTCATGTGTGTGCTTTTATTACGTACAATGTCATGTACTGTAGTCCCAAATGCTCCTGGCTACCGTAGCAGACAAGTGGAGGATGATACAATAAAATAGACTACTAGTACAAGCAGGGTGTGCTGAAGGCTGAAGTGCTGAACGATGAAACCAAAGAATGAAACTAGCTAGTAGACTACCGGTATGACATACCGTAGACTAGCTAAAGCGTCATTTTCAGCAAAACCTACATCAGAAATAAAATAAAATTGCAGTATCTTTCAATTTATTGCCTCCGTCCTGTTTCCTCGGATCCTTCAGTTGTCTTCTTCATTCTTCCAACAAACATTCATGATGGCTGATATTGAAATTGCCAACCCAAAAGACGACCTATCACAATTATTCTTTCTGCCCAAGGATCTTCCGAATCGACCCAGGGTTTTCTTTGTCGGCGATAAGAAAGATTCTTCTTCCAATGTGACCGACAGCTTTGTGGGTCCTCTTGAAGTGACTTCTTCTGGAGTGGCCCATGGGCTTGGTGTAGTGGCTAGACGTGACATTCAAGCAGGAGAATGCCTCTTTGTTACCCGTGCTGTGGTATCAGCAGATGTAAAGTTGGTCTTTGAGGAGTGGAAATCCAGATTCACAGACAACAATGCTACCAAGGGAGATAATAATATTGGTACACCTCAAACACTTTTGGAAGAAGTGACGGAGCAAGTCCTGGTCAAGGCAATGAGACAGAAAATCCAATCCCAAGACGACAGTGACAAAGCCATTGTACAAAGCTTCCTTTTGCAGCTATCAGAGGGCGAGGAAAGTACTGCTAGAAACATTCCAGTACCCACCGATCCATCGTCATTTGTACCAGCATTGGTAGCCAGACAATCGTTTTCGTCCACAACAGCAGCAAGTCCATTATTTAACATTGACACTGACATTTCAGACACCAAGCTCTTGGAGATTATCCGTCGGAATGCTTTTGGTCCAGACTTTGCGTCTTACCAATCCGTTGAGGCTCAGTGGGCACAAAGCCTGGATGATGGCACGGAAAGACCAAGTCCATCAAGATTGTTGGGATTGTATCCCTTGGCAGCCATGATCAATCACTCGTGTACACCAAACGCTGTGAGAGTTTTCGTTGATGGAGACTGGATGGTCGTTCACGCAAGTTCCAACATCCCAAAAGGCAAAGAAATTGGTTGGAGTTACCTACCTCCAATCTTATCTTATCCTAGCCGAAAGAAGCAGTTGGAAGAAAGACATGGTTTTGTATGCCACTGTGCACGGTGCATCAACGAAAAAGAGGCCTGCAGCACTCGGGATATCTTTGACTTGCCCGAATCTCTCAACCCCTTTCAAAAGAGTGGAAGCATCTTGGCAACCTCTGGCAAGGAAGCACGACAACAACTTACAAAGGATCTTTTAGCTTGGGAAGAACGGACCTTTGCCGCCAATGGCCTTTCCAATGAAACCCGTCGCTATTGGAAAATGGGTAATGCGTCACTCTATATTCACTACCTCAATGCGGTCCTCATGGATATACCACAAGATAATCCGGAGCAAGCAGCCAAAACAAGAGCCATCTGTCTCATGAAGGGAATGGATTTACACTTTTGCTTTGTGAGCTGTCATTATGCCTGCACGGAACACTTGTCCATCATGCACTTGTGCTACGAGTTGGTGGCTATTATGCATTCTCGATCTCCAGATCCCAGCAAGACGCTTCCCAAGGTTCAGTTCTGGACCGAGCAACTGAAACGAGCGCATCTGATACGGTATGGATCCTTGGGTAGCAACGTGGATCGTATTCGGGCTGTCATGAAGCACACACAAGTGGTGCTTCGGAACCATAACGGTCTGGACAAGGTCCCATACGACTTCATCTAGAGCTAGCTAGTAGAGCCAACTACCGGTAGGGCAACAGAAATATACTAGTACCTACACTTATCAGGTCAATACGAGGCAGCGTGTCTCTCAAAGGATTGACTCAAAAATATCCAATGCCTTGTTCATCTCTTCGAGCTCTGCGTTGAGTTGTCCGTACTCCTTCTCAAACTCTGGCGACTCTCGCATACACTCACTCAGAGTCTCGTCCGTCACGCTCCACAACGAATCTTGGATCGAGGACGACAGAGACCTAAATACCTGCCAGCAAATCATGGGGGTCCTGTCAACCACACGCTTCGTGGCAACACAGCCGTAAGCTTCCAACACTATCTCCATTTCGTCGGCCATGTGATCTTCTACGCTTTTCCGGCGGTTCCGCTCAAATACGCCATCGATGATTGTCTGTATGGCTTGTGTATCGTACACTGCTTGCTTACCCTGATCCAATTTCAAGGCCGATTCCAGTTCTCGTTTCAAAGTTCGATGTCTAGCTTCCCCAAGGTTTTGGAAAAGAGCTGAATCCTGAGTGTACGGGTGCGTTTCAATCGATAAATGTGTGTCGACTTGCTTTCGAGCTTCCTGCATCAGCTCTTCCGCAGCCACACGACACTGTCTCTCCAGGTACCGTCGCAAGGGAGGATAGCGGATTGTGCTTTTGGGGAGGTTGGATTCGATGCAGTCATTCACCGCTGCCATGAGGATGTCGCTGGTGGCGTCCAGTAGCTTTTTGCAATGAGGTCGCCAGTCATGCTCGACAAAGTCTTCAATAATGTTTTTGAAAATGTCAACCTGACGTGCCATCAGAAAGGAAACACTGTTAGAAGAAATGAAGGGTGCTACCCCACGCATTCATATTATTCACAAAGAGTCTTCGTGCTCACATTTAGAAAACAAGCCAGATCGTCCGTCCTATTCTCCACAATCTTCTCCTTTAGCCACGATGGGTCCGTTCGGATGTGGTCCAAGGGAATCCTCCGAAGGGAATCGAATATGTTGTTCTTGCGTGCAATGAAAATCTGGTTGCCATCGGACCAGACTTCATCTTCTTCGATTTGCTGTTGAGCCGTGTATCCTCTGTATTCAAACAGAATCGCTCTCCGCTTATCGTCCTGATCTGCATCCTCGTCACAATCAAGGCAATCAATACAGGCAAAGTCTTTGTCGAGGTGCACAACTTCTCCTCGAACTTCGCCATGGGGTGAAGTCACTCGAACATGGGCTCCTTCCACAATCGATCGAATCGTGTTGAGCGATCCTTGACGGATGCTTTTCGTAAATCCGGAGCAAGCCTCGTGGAGTTGGGCTGCCGCTGTGGATGTTTGGGAGGAGTTGTTGGTTGTCGTTTTGGAAGCAGTGGCACTTTTACCGTTGCTGCTCCTATGCTTCGATCTCCTTGTCGTCTTTGTTTCCGCCCCGGCCTTTTTGCCACTCAATGACGATTTCAATTGATTGGCAAAACGAGCACAGGTGTCTTGATAGAAGCGGCGCCGATCAGCAACAGTGGTCAAAATTTGATCCCCACCCATGGCCATCCGTTTTGCCTCCGCAGTTTGTTGCTTGTCTTTGATTTCTTGCAAAATGGTCGGCACTGAAGATTGAATGTGAAGAAGTAGAATGTCGCCCAATTTCCTCCTCAATTCACCCGTTCCAAACAGTGTTCGATCGGCAACATATTTCCATGGTTCTACGGTATCAAAATAATGAGTTTCCTCTTCCAAAGCCACGTGAATGGATGTATTCCGATCCAATGCAGCTTGCCCCCGCCCCTTGACCATGTGAAACTGATTACTGTCGTTCAATTTGATCTTATTTCCCATCAACAGTTCAAGAACATCGCCTTCTCCTCCTTGATCCACTAGATCTGGCTTGGTAATGACGGGAATCGTCCGAGAGGCGTTGGGGTCCACTTGTTGCGCCAACGACAAGATTTTTGAATTGTGAAAATCAACATTTGCGGGAAGGACAGCCAAAATGATGCAGCGGGGGTTTTGAATGTAGGTTTGCAATAGTTCTTGAATATCTTGCACCAGATCTTCGGCATCATCTTGTCCTCTGGATTGTACCCATCCTGGTAGGTCCATCAAGGTTAATGGATGATCCGAAGCAAGACCAAAGTTGGGTCCCTCCACAGACAAGGAAATTACATCTGAAGCTACCTGTACATCTTGGTTGGCCTGTTGCTGCAGAATGTGGTCCTGTGCTTCTCGGACAAACTGAGGAATGGAATCCCAAGTGTCTTCGGTAGCCATGCGGGGTTCAAATACAGCAGGCGATGCATCTTCGGTTGCTGGCTCTGGTAGACTGGACGTCTTCCACTGGATACCGACACGCGCCTGACGCTTTTCGGCACGACGAAGTTCCAAGAGAATGGGACAACGAGTGGTCAAGCTGTGATTGGAGGGAAGCTCGATCATGGCCAAGTTGCTCAATAAAGAACTCTTGCCAGAGGAAGTGTCGCCAAAGACGGCAATCATGGGAAGCTCGATACCCCATTGGGTGATATTCGTTGTGGTGGACAGCAAGTGCAGAAATTGCCTCAAGGCTGAATTGCCAATACTGGACGCAGTTTCCTTATCATCGTTCATTCCGTTGGTATTGCTCATGTCCGACTACTACTGTAGTACTGTACTGTGTTCTATTAGGAAGAAATGGGGTTTGTTGAAAGCCCTTTTGTCGTCCCAGAAAATTGTGGCGCCCCGCGGAAATCCAATGCCTCGGACGCAGATTAACGGTCGTCGATTGAGCCGACTGAGCTATCAGTCGATTGGATTCATTCGACGAAGGGCATGCTATCAAGGACGAAGTTCTCGGAGACCTCTCTTCACAAAGTTCAATACCAGTGCCAACCTAACATGTAGCTAGCACTCTTAGCGATACACAGTGTAGTAGAAGATGACCCATCCTTTATGCCGTTCCAGCACAGACTGAAGCCAGTGACTGCTATTATGATAAGGGGAGGAGTGACACATCTAGATACCGGTACCATTGGTTCTGATGCCAGCATTGCTGCTGTGGCAACCGTTGTCCAACTTTGCATGAGTGCATCCAGAAAGACAAGGCCACAGCTGCACTATGACGTGTGCAGAAGTCGGGGAAACCTGCAAGCAGGGCCTATGGAAGCTGTGGATAATCCTAAAAAGTTGGAGGCATGGTAGTACCTTCTACATGTACTTTGAACCGTAGGATCTATTTGGGAGCTTTCGATCCATAGAGGTGTGCTTCATTCTCAAAGGGCTTGCTTGCACTTCTTGTAGTATTTGCGTGCATCGTCCAAGCGAAATGTCAACCAATGAACGACTCGACTCACCGTGGACCTTTGTGCTGGTGTGTAGCATGCAACTATATGCAGCTCCCATGATTTGAATCATCACTGGGGAAGGAGGATGGAGATCTATGGGATGAACCGTGCGAGGATACGCACGATCAGGAATTTTGGCGTAACTAGCATGCTGGTACCAACCAAACATGTTTGCAAAGTTGTTTGAGTGGATCACTAAGCGAATTGTGCACCAATGTTAGATCCCTTTCTTTTTCTTTGTTGTTGTGAACTCATCTTCTCTTATGTCTTCCACATTGCCCTCATTGGATAGCTGGTTGATGGCTGCCTTGATGATGAGGACCAGCCAAAATGTCATGAGCAATTCCAGCACTATCAGCATGGATTTCAGGATGAAAGCAGCAGTGGCCGGAATCTCAGGATAGTCGTTGAAGTCGTACTGGAAAACGACATACACAACACAGCTGAACATGAGGTTTCGAGTCAAAAAGAATGACACGGCAAAGAGCTCAAATAGGCGGTCCGCCAACCACTGGTAGATGTCGGTAGGTTTGCGAGAGAGATACACCAGTGCCTTGGCAATCAACATAAATGGATCCGTCCAGTCAAAAAAGAACATGATGACTCCACCGACGCGTGTGAGTCCTACATGCCCTGAGAGAAGTACGAGCGCCACTGTGGCAACATGATGAATTGCATAGGCAAGAGTGTCCTTCAAGCGAGTGGGAGAGGAAGGGGGGCGCAGAAGCAAAGCTGAGGAGGCATAACCTAAACAATGATTTGCAGTATGCATCCTGTAGACTTACACTCCTCTTGTTTTCGTAGTACAGCGACAACATATCTGATATATACCTCGCAGCATAGAGCAGATAGTAGAACTTGAAGTCGGGTTCAATGGAAGAGAGGGCCGTGGGATCTCCCCATGCCTCCGTGGACCAAAGCCACTCTTTCTGGCTCAAGATGCGCCACACAAATATGGACGACAGAATATGAAAGGACGCCGCATTTACCGACTGGCTAAAGTTTTCAATCTTTCGCTTGGTTGTTGCGTCGCCACAGTTGGATGAAACTCCTAAACGCCATCTCGCAAATGGTTCCCAGACGAGCCATCGAGAAAACCACGAGCAGCAATGAACCACAAGGAACAAGTACAACAACACTGCTCAACGATCGAAAGTTGGGGTAAATTGTGAGAACCTTGATAGAGCCATACCGTACGGTACAAACAGATTAGTTAAAATCTTACCAATCCAATCCAAGCCTGCACATGGGTGATCATGAGAGGAGGCCAAAAAGAATTCGGTTGCCGTGGCAAGCTCTCCACCATTCGGTACATGTATCTTGAAGCATTGGGCCGGCTGTGGAACAATTTCGGTACTTTTCAGTGTCTGCCCCAGGAAGACTGTATTGTGGAAGACTTCCCAGAGGCTTTGCGTGTATTGCCAGCCATTGTCCAACATGGCATTGTCCAACATGTTCTTTCCTCTTTCAGTTGCATATACCTGATTGCGTCAAACATGTGTGGTCTCAGTTTGACACGGAGTCAAATCTTGCGTTTAGTCAAACTCAATAATGCACGCCCAGCGCGCGAATATTATTTGATAATTTACGTCCGGTCAAAAGACTAAGAGATTTACAGGACGTGTCACATGCCACATCATCGAACCTTCCTTTCGCGCCCACTCTAGGCCAAAAGCGAGCAAGTGCTAGTAGCTATCGACTGAAAAAGTGCTCATCGTGGACCTAGTGCACTAGCAAGTGGCAATGCTACCAGTACTAAGCAAAGCACACCAAACGCACCAGTCAAACACCACAAACACCACAAGCAACCACCACCACAACAACAACAAGCACCAAGCAACCACTCCTTTCAAGTATGCTAACCAGTCGCCTCATTGCCAACAGAGTTGGTTCTCCTGGTAGAGTGCAAACTTCTCCTGGAGGCACAACTAGAAGAACAAGAGGACCAAGACCAAGGGAACCAAGGAATGATCTGAACAGGAATCTGAGGAAGAAAGTGTTGGAGATCAGGGAGTCAGACAGAAACACAGGCACCCACAAGGCCCACAATCCCAAAGCCTTGGAGTACATCCAGTACTGCGAGCATGTCTGTGATGGTGATGATCCCTACAAGTACATTCTAGTGCCTGACAGAGTGTACAACTTCATGTGGTACCAAAGCTTCAGGGAGCAGAAGCCAAAGGGTTTGACAAAAGAGAAGAGGGCAATCCCTGCAGACCAGAGAATCTACTTTGATACAGAAGACTATGACACACTGATGGACAAGTTCAAGAAGAGAGAAGATGCTGATGCAAACATGCCCAATCCACAAAATCCTATTGGAATTCAATCTTTCAACCAGTACCAACAAGTCATCAAGAAAATTTATGATGTGCAGGTAGCTCTCACCAAGAACATAGCTCTTCCACAAGCAATGCAGGTGCAATGGGATTATGTATGGATCAAGGATGACATGAAGCCATTGCGCAAGTGGGTGATTGAAAGGAAGCCCAAGAAAGACAAGGAAAACTACAAAGAAAAAGTTAATGGAGAGTTTTCTCCTTACAGTGTTGTTGAGCACTATGATCAAATGGAAGAGCATCTATTCACCAAGAGCCAACATGCAAGAGGATACAGGTCGGTCAACAAGGGTCTCCGTCATCGCTTTTGCCTCACATATTTGACATCCGGTGTGCTCCGGTCTGAAAGTCTCCATCGTGCCGAGTTGAGTGATTTCCTTGGCATCAACCTTCCCAAGGCACCCAATGATGTACATCGGCCTTTTTTGATGGTGCACCAGATTCCTATTGGCAAAACAGCAACTCAGGGCGGGAGACAGTATGGGAGGTCCACAAGACATAAAGACGTTCGGGCTTGTGCAGTCGGCAGTCTTGCTTTTTATTTGCAGCATCGGTTTTTTTGTACAGGAAAGCTGGAGAGCTACACTACAGAAGATTGGCTGAAGAACAGCGAGTGGTTCGACATTAAGCTGCTCATTGATGTTGGTTCTCCTAGCAATCACAAGAAAGAGATGCGAAATGATAGGTACGTTCTGTCGTTTAAGTGTATGCAGCATTGGCAATGGACCGCTGCTAACCACCGTCTCAGCTATGCTAAAGATATAGAAGCCATGTTGAAGGCACTTGGTCTCGATTGCAGCAAAGTCTTACACCTTGGCCGTAATCTGGGTGCAAAGTATCTGGAGATGGGAATGACGGATGCAGAATTGATTAGGCAAATGGGGCAATGGGCAGCTGGTGTTTTTGACACGTCTTACAGCACTAAGCTACCCATGGAAGCAATTAGAGCATTGGCCGGATTCTTTGGTGGAAAAGACAGCGCCTATTTCCTGTCAAGAAGTACTGTACAGCCAAAGAAAGAGCTCCTTGTGCAAACGCCTATTGGCCGATGGGTATCTGCGGCTTATGAAGCTGTTTGCGCTGCTGACAAGAAGAATGAGCATCCTCCTGTACGTCTCTTCCTGAAGTTTCTCATGGACTTAAATGAAGTCTTCCTACAAGATGCAGCGGCTATGCTAATCCTTCATCCAGAACGGAAAGACCATCCTATCTTTACTGATCTGGACTGCTTTCTTGGAGCGGAATTTAAGGTGAGTGCGTGATTGCTTTTTCTATTATCTTAATCAGTCTATCTAACATGGACTCTCCCTTCTTCAGGCTTTCCAAGAGGAGATGCGAGTGGCCCTTGAAACGGCACAAGATCCTGCCGATGCTGACTTGCAGCGTGTGCTACCGGGAGTGCACCAGTGGCACTCAGCAAACAATGCAGAAGTTAGACAAGTGAGCAGGAAGCTCGACTCGTTTGCTGAGGTTTTGACGGAGGGAATCAACAAGCTTATTGCCTTTACCCAGACCAATGAGCGGCGACAACAGCACCGTGACGAGCGACTTGCACAGTTTTTGGAGAGGGGAGCTGAGGCTTTAAGGAACCGGGAAGAAGAAGATTTTACAGAGCTCCTACAAGGTGCCGCTACAGCCGGTCTCACTGACACGACAATTAACAAACCACCTTCCCCTTCGCAGTTGGAGGACGATTTAGAGGCAAGTGGATTTGTTGCTCCCATTGGTGATCCTATGGTGGTGGATAATGGGACTTACGAGTACGAAGACAACGGGCAGATGGAAGCAGAAGCAGCAGCTGGCGCATTGCTTCAAGTTGGTGCAACGAGAGTGGCAACCGAACAATACACAGCAAAAGAGCTTCAACTTGGTGCCCTAATCGGTCTCACCAAGCCAAATAAGTCTTTTTTCATGCGACCGAAGCATCAGACATTGTCAGCAATGCTGGATGAATGGATCGGCAGAGCTGATTTTCAAGATGAGTTAGGCGGTGTGGAAGGACGAGAGCAGCAGTGGAAAAACAAATGGCGGTTGCACTGGTCAGCTGCTCAATCGGCACACTACTCAAGGACGAAAGCTATCATCACTGGCATTCGGGCCTACGGCAAGCTCCACTCCATGTCTGAGGATGATGCATGCGCTGCTCTACAAGACACCTACAAGAAGCAATGCAAGTGCTATGTCTCTAAAATGAAAGACTACATGCAGGAGAACAATCTAACAGAGAAGAAAGCAAGGCGTGGACGTTTGAAAACAATGGAGAAACAGTAGCATTTTTAAATAAATAGAGTACTATTTTATTGTTACTGGCTACTCTAATGATCGTCGTCCAGTTCGTCTAGAAACCTCATAAGCGTGGTGCTGATTTCACTGGTGTGTGCACTACGCTAAAAGCTAATGTAAAGATCTTTCGAGTGTTTTGAGTTTGAGAGAATGAAAGTTATGAGAGAGATTAGAAAGCTTTTTCTACCTTGGTTCCTTGCATATGAATTTGCATGCGAACCGGACTAGATGATTAATACACGAGTCAATAGTAAGAGAGGTGTACAGGTATGTTTCCTCCAACAACGGCGGCACAGTCTATTAACCAACTTGGAAATTAGGTATTATACACCCATAAAGCCTGATCCCTTGTAGGATTGCCATCGTGCGACGACACATGTCTACATCCAATCTCATGAGGAGTGCCCCGAACTTTAAATCATATGTCTTTCCTGCTCCCGCTGGTCGTGCCTTCTGTGACCTTGTCAGGGGCAGCGAATGCAATACACGGTCTTAGCCTTATTCGCGACTGTATCCTAGATAGGGTTTGATTCGACTCATGACTGAGTCCTCGTGAATAGTCATTGAGACAGGGTTCTCAATCCGCGCTAGTCATACTAGGTTGACTGTGAAAAATCCTTAGATATTAGCCGCGTATAGCTTCCACGTCTAGATCCAGGCTAGAAACCTTCCACCAGTTCCGTTTTGGTTCGTGTAGTGAGTAGGATTACTACCCACAACCTACTCTATACACTTTATCAGTCTCCCGCGGGAAGTACAGATCTACGATCCCTTGATGATGATCTTCTTCTCGTTGATTAGATTTTTCAT